GAAAACTTCAAGAGAAAGAGATAACAATCATAAATATGTATGTACCACATACGAGAGCACCCAACTCTATAAGACAAATACTAATAGTCATGAAAAATCAACAACCAGTAACACAGTTGTAACGGGGGACCTTCACACCTCACTGACACAAAGAGATAGATCAACTAGACAAAAAACCAGCAAAGAAATAACAGAACTAAATCAAACTTGTTTTGTTCTTTTGAGACAGGGTCTCACTTATGTATCCCTGGCTGGCCTCAAACTCATGGTGATCCTACTGACTCCTATGGGCTAGGATTACATTTTTAGTTCTTTGATGAAATCTCCATACTGAATTCCACAATGGTTGTACTAGTGTATATACCCACTGACTTATCTCTAGATGTCCCCCCAAAAACCTCATGGGTCCTAGGTGGGGCTTCTCAGAGGCAGGTGGATCTAGAATGTGTGGTGTGATGCTGGGATTAAGGGTGTGATTACTAAATCAGTCCAATGATAAATTTGACGTAGTTCCGAGTGTGGATAATGGGAAGGCCCACTATGGGTGTGACCGCCACCTGCCCTAAGAGTGGGCAGCCTAGATACGATATAAGGGACAGAAAGAAGGTCGAGCTTGCTGCCTTGTGTCTTCTGCCTGCCGTGAACTGTTTCTCCTCTCCTCTGTTTCTCCTATGACCCTCCGCCATGCCACCCTGCCTTGGAGCTAGCCAGCTATGAACTGAAACCTCTACAAACTGTGAGCCAAAATAAACCTTTCCTTCTTTAATTTTGGGTGTTGGGTACTTTGTCTCAGCAACAAGAAAAGTTAGACACCCAACAACAATGTAGAAAGGTTCCTTTTTCACTGTAGCCTTGGGCAGCATTTGTTGTTTTTTGATTTCTTGATGACAGCTGTCTTTTCTGCAGTAGAGAAGAATTGATCTTGCTGTTGCTAATTACCAGTGAATAGACACAACCGGCCTTCACGTAGAGTGACACTGTAACTTTTCACTTCCTAACTCCTGGAGCCCCACCCCCATCCCATCCTTATTCCTCACCCTGTCTTTAAAATCACAGTCTGTGGAAGGGTCAGTAGAATTCCATTCACCTCGGACCTTGCCCCTCATGAAATGGTTCATTACTGGTTAAATTCTAAACTTGCCACTTTAGAGTCATCTTGGTTTATCTTCACAATATTAAGTTGCTTAAAGTTTAATGACTACTAAGCAGCTGAGCTAGGACACCATGCTCCAGCAAAGCTTATTGACTCTATTAAACAAATATGAAATAGAAAAAAAAAAATACAGTGTCAAATTCAGTTCTCTGAATTTCAGTTCACAAAAAAAGGAAAGGCCCCGAGAGCTTTGTACTTCATAGTTTAACAGCCTTTTCCAACATGGTTCAGCAGACACCATGGAACCCTGTTCTTTAAGAGAAATTAAGTAACGCTTGTGATGAGTAGGTAGCAATGATGTCAATTTATTCCACAAACTAATAGATGGAATAAAATATTTCTGCATATACCCATCAAGACAGTTGCACAACTTTGACTGTCACCATGAAGTCATGTCTAACAACTTACCCACCAGCAGTAATAATAATATAGGAGACAGGGCATGTCAAAGCTGCCCAGGGAATTGAGCGGGACACGAGATCCCAGCTGAGCACCAAATAATTCTCAGGACCCCATATATGGAACTTCTGGCAGGTTCCCACAAGATCTGGACTGCATGTAAAGAGGTAGACTCCAGGGAGAGCTTCCTATCGTGGCTTCCGACTATAACCCACACTGCATTTCCTAGACGCAGCATGTACTTTTATTTTTTAGATTTTTTTTCTCCTGTTCTGCCCAAGTTCACTCTGCAGAGCTGACAACTTGTCCCATACCCATTCATCCCTCACATTTCAAGTAAACTTTTGGTATTGCTTTTGGCTTGTCTCTTCCAATTCTTTGTTTGAGGCAAGAAGGACCTAGAATACTTTTGATTGGGAAGCTATTTCTAAAGGAACTCCCTAGTAACAATAAGGAAGACCTGGGGCCACCACCTTTATTCCTTGCTTGTATGCTTTTACCCAAATCATGTGGAAGTGCTAGGTTTCAGGGATCCCTGACAAACACACCAGAACTAAGACCCAGGGCTGGGAATATTATTCAGTGGGAAAGGGCTTTTCTAGGATGGGAAAGGACCCTCAATTTGATATTCAACACTGGGCCTGGGGACAGGAAAAGAAATTCTCAAGCTTAACAAAGAAAGGTACTCGTAAGCAATCAAACTCTAACCCCTCCACATCCAAATGTTATAGAAGAAAAAGATACAAATCCTCCAAGTAGAGCTTTATTCACAGGCTTTAAATTATGGTGCTTTCCAAAAACAAATATTTAAAATATTTCCAGTTGCTAAATCTGTCAGTCCTTTCCTTCAGAATTGCTCTCCTATTCTTACAGCTCCTTTCCCAAACTCAAAATATAAACTTTATAGTTCAACAGTTGCATTTAAAAGGCAATTTTCATGTCCATCTTTTAGAGATTATTTGGTGTATTTGTCCAGTATTCATTTCCCATTCCAAGCATTACTGTCTTTCTGTAGTACCAATTTTGGAATAATTATTTCTGTCCCATTAATTGTTAATGCAACATTTTCCAAACACTAATAAAAACAAAAATAAACCCCTTGCTTCATTTGCTTTTAGTTACTTTGAAGAGTTGGCTTCTTTTTTTACATTATTGTTTTGAGACCCAGTCTTCCTATTTTCCTAGGCTGGCCTCCAACTGCTGATCCACCCACCTCAGCCTCTCAAGTCGCTGGAATCACAGGGATGCAAATGATACCCAGATGCTTTTAACTGACTTTAAGAATCCCTAACTATGGAGGTCACATAGCTGAGTTAATATATTCTTAATCTCCCACTAGCTTGGCTGTACCTGAAACCTCTGATATGGGTTCTGACATCCTTTCCTAAATTGCTTTGCAAGTACTCAAAGACTGCTTTTGTCAAAAGCACAACCTTTGCACTTGGGCCTGTGCTGGTGTCTCATGCTGGTGGCCCATTAGCATCTCCCCCTCAGAGCATGCTAATACTGCAAGATTATGAACATGCATCCCATCACAGCCCTAAATTTGGATTACACATGCACAGGCACTTACTCCAGCTACAGCCATCTCTCTCCTCACCTCAGACAGCTCCATTTCTTCATGCTGAATATCCTCAAGCCCTGTCCTAGAGGAGGCAGAATTGAGACTTGAGATTCTCCCTCCATGCTCACAGCCCTTGTGAATAAACTTTTCCCCTTTTGCAAAGCTGATTATCTCAGTGATTGTGATTCTGTGCAAAGAGAAAATGTGCCTGCTTTGGTAACATTAACTTCTTGTCAGTATATGATATGTGCATATTAAATATTCTGGAGAATTCTAGAGCCTATTGACCTGTCAATTTTTTTTTTTTTTTTTTTTTTTTTTTTGGTACCATGAATCAAACTCATGACCTCAGGCTTGCCAGGCAAGCACTTATACCACTGAGATACATCCCTGGCCCAACCTGTCAATTCTTAGGTAGGTACCATGACTAAAAGGATAAACAACCAGTGTGAAAATCATGATCCGTGATCCATGATCCATGATCCTTTTTTGTTTTGCCCTTTTAAACAGCAGGACCCTCGACATGTTCCACATTCCCTGCACACTATTAGCTCTCGCTAAGAGAATCCACTACTGAATCTAACCCAGCCTCCAGAAGGAAGTGGCTAGTGGTGTGCAGGGAGCAGTCAGTGACAGAACAAACATACACTGGGATAGGGGAGGAAATCCCAGGCTGCTGAATTAGCCTGGGAGGAAATGAAAATCCCAAATTTTACATATAGTGTGAACTTTACGTATGTAACATTTTTGACCTAACTAAAGGGTAGAAATGGGGAGCGGATGCCTGGTTGTGTGAAGACAGGGTTGGCTGGGAGCAAGTGAGGAGCTTGACTGTAAAAGACTAACTTGAGTGACGCTTGTGCCGATGGAAATACTCTGTGTCTTGAGCATGGAGGATACACACCCCACAGGTGTTATAGAGCTGCAGAAGAAAAACAAACGAGGACACAACAGGAGAAAGCCATGATAGGTGGATTATTGGGTGGTCAGTATGTAACTGGTACACTACACTTTTGCAAATTGAGGAAAACTAAAGTGTAAGGAGTGTATTATCTTACCACTGCATGTGAATTTACATCATGTTCTAAGAACTGGATTGGAAATTTACCATCAAATAACAACATGATTTATATATCTTTGTAAAGCAGCACTGTGCAAAATAACCTTTTGCAATGACAAAAATTCCTACTTCTTCCCTGCCCAGGATAGTGGCCACCACTTATATAAATATAGCAACTCAAGACTGCAGTTTGTACTGCACTAATTTTCAGTAAGATTTAAATGGCCACATGTGGCTGAATGCTACCTAAGTGACAACGCAGAAATGAAACTTGATCTCACGGTCCCTTGTTATTTTGGCATAAGGAATAAGCAGTGAGAAAACTCATTTCCCTCCACTGAATCAGTTCATAAATTTTCTGAGCATGATTCTATGATTTCATCCTAAAATAAAGATAAACTTGTACATCCTGAGCCAGCCCTAGTGGCACATATTTGTGTGTCCTAAATACTCAGGAGGATTGCAAGTTTGAGGCCAGCATTGGCGCCTTAGCTCAGTGGTAAAGTGCCTGTCAGGCAAATCCACAGAACTAACAAAGGGAAAAGGGTCCCGATGTCTTAGTCTGAGGGCAAAAGAACGCCCTGATGCCCGCTTCCACGTGTACAATGCAGACCTCATACCCAAGCTGGATGAAGGTCTTGCCAGTAGCCAGATGGGTAACTCTGGGATGATTTAGTAAGGAATCCCCACAACTCTCAGAAAACCTGGTGAGAGATGAGCTAGAGGCTTGGCTGTCATTTACTTTAGAGAAAATCAACAGGCACTCATCCCCTTTTGGTTTCTCCCAGCATTTCACAACTCTCCTTCTGATGACTTCGTTGCAGCACTGATCCTTAAAACACCAAGGAAAAAGCCCACGCAAGACCCATTTCTTCAGGCACAGCTGCGGATGGTTGGTTGGCTGAGGAATGTGAAGCAAACCTCAAGAACCAAGAACGAGGGGTCAGGGCAGAGCTGCTCAAATAGCCAAGGCCAGTGGTTCTTCCCTGCCAGCAGCCACCAGCCCTGACTGGAGGGGACAGGGTGGCAACGTCCTGGCCTCACTTCCTGAGCTCATTTCCCTTTCCCAGGGCTCTGCACAGTCTGCCTGGCTATATCCCTCCCAAAACTCCCGCAGGAGAAAGCCCAAGCCCTGAGCCGTCCACAGTCTGACCCCACTGCCTGCAGGTTCTTTTCACCTCCCAGTCAACCCGCTCCAGGCTCTGCACAAACACAGAATCACGTTTCTCGCTTTAAACTGCTCTAATACACGAGTAAGAAGACAACCGGTGACCCGAGAGTCACTAAGTACACACGAATGAAGATGATCGGCCGCTTTTAGAAAAACTATAATATGTGGCTGGGATTTGGGCGTTTACAAGCAGAATTTATGCTCGAAGTCACCACCCTAATTATCTCTGCACCCACAAGGATGCCGCGGAGCCACGCCCTCGGGGGCGGGGCCTGCGCTTGCGCTATTAAGCCAGGACCCTGCCGGAGTCCCAGGCATCCACACCCAGAGACCTCCAGACACAGGGCTCCGGGTCGCTACTGGATCCGCGCTCCATCAGGAAGCCTGGCGCTGCCCGGCCATGTCGTCCTGCACCCGCGTGGCGCTGGTGACCGGGGCCAACAAGGGCATCGGCTT